CGGGACTGAGCGATGCCGTGGATCCAGGACCGGGGCCGCCCCAGCTGACGGCGCCGGGGAGGGAATTGCTCTCCAGGACGCAGCCGATGGCCTCCAAACCTGATCACCCATTTTGTTTTTTTCTCTGCCATGTCTCCGCCCTCTCGCCCCGCCTGCGGATTCCTGTAGGACGGGGCTCTTCACCCCAGACTTGGCATTCGAGGCCATTGTGAAAAAGCAGGTGGTGAAGCTGAAAGAGCCTTGTCTGAAGTGTGTCGACCTCGTTATTCAGGAGTTAATCAATACAGTTAGACAGTGTACCAGTAAGGTATTGAACCGGCTGGAGGCAATCCAGCCCCTTCCTACCAGCGGGATGGGGAAGCAGGAGCGATGCTCTAACCTGCCTGCCTTGCCTGGTTTCCCTTCCAAAAAGAAAAATAATGAAAACGATGAAATCTGGGAGCCCCCTAAGCAAATTGGATGTTTCTGAGCTCGTGTCTCCTAACCTGGAGTCCTCCCTGTCGCCTCCGGCTGAGGGGATCGGCCGCTCCTCGAGCCAAGGACGGCTCAGCCAGCGCTGGCAGGGTCCCTGAGCCTCCCGGCCATCCCGACGGACAGGGTCGGGATTTCTGGGGACGCTCGACAAGACGCTTGGCTTCCCGTGGCTGTCACCCTCCCGGGGACAGCGCGGCGCTCGCGGCGAGGGGCTCTCCAGGGGCCGCTGCCGAGGCTTTGTTCCCGGTGGGAGCCAGGCAGGCGGGCAGGCTGCTCTTGGATGCCGGTACCTCTCTTAGCACGTGTTTTCTCAAGCTGCAATTTAAACTGCTGCTTCGCTGCACTCTGGGAATCCCGGGAACGTGGAAACAAAAGCCGGGGACAGCAGTTCCAGTAAAGGGTTTGGTGGCCTGCCTGTAAATCTCGCAGTTCAATGTCTGCAATTAATAAGCTGCTTGATAAGGAGGGCCCTGGATAAATAACCGGGCCATTTCCATATTTAATAACCAGCTTCTTAGAGCCACTCTTTTGTTTTTTAACCTCGTTCGGGTAGCGCCAAAAGATACGCCTTCAACTGAAAAGAGGGCAGGAAAAACAGCTCCTCTCTCTTTCCAACGCTTATATTATTTAAAAAAATAATAATAAATTTAGCTACATACAGGCAAGAGCGTGAAAGCGTCCGCCCCGTTTGCTACCCAGAGTGCTTCTGTGGAGCGGACCAGTTTAAATGCTGGTTCTGTCAGTGGTAGGACCGGTGGGGGTTTGCTGGCGGGTCAGGAGTTCTCCGCTCTCTCCGTTTCCAGCGTGGTTGACTGTGATCTGGGTAACGTGGAGAAGCCGGCGCTTCCTGCCGAAATTCCTTCCGTCTCCGATAGCCAGGGCGGCTCTTACCCCGAAGCTGAGTTGAAATTCAGTGTTTTCCTAGAGCTGGGTCTGAGTAACCCAGGCTAGAGGGAAGCCGGGAGCCTGGCCGGGGCTTTCCCCGCGCTCAGGCGGCGCTGCCGTCCCGTACGCACCGGGGCGAGGGGCCCTCCGATCAGTACAACCGCCCCGACGCCGCGGGGAGCTTGAGAGGGGACCGAGCACCCCAGCAGCTCCCAGGGACCCGAAGGAATTTCTCAGGCAGCGCTGCAGCTTTTTCCATTGCACGTTACTAACCTTAATTTAAAAAAAAAAAAAAAAATTTCTCATTTTTCTTTTCTTTTCTGTCTTTGTTGCTATTTCCCCCCCTCCCCCTGCACTCCGCTTGGTGTTTCGCTCTCTGCATGGTGCAGGACGGGGCTCTTCACGCCCGACATGGCCTTTGAAGCCATAGTGAAAAAACAGATTGTAAAGCTTAAAGAGCCCAGTTTGAAGTGTGTTGATCTGGTGGTCTCAGAGCTGGCCACGGTCATTAAAAAGTGTGCCGAAAAGGTAACGGGTCTTAATTCCTCCCTTTTTGTCTAATCTGAACATCTGGAATATATTCGCTCCCAGGACCCAGCCGACCAAAGTGAGTTCAGCCACAAGGTTGGCCCTAATTTTGGGGGACGCCGTGTCCTTCCGACACCCGACCGCTTGTCGGAAACGCCGGCAAATACAGACGTAGCATCAACTCGGCTTCGCGGCACGGGTCCTGCCGAGACATATTGCCCAGGTGTTTGCTCGCCCCCGTAACAGCAAAGGCTGAAACCGCTCCTCGCGTTGCTGAGATCCCGCTCCTTTGCCTCGCTTAGCCGTAGCTCGCGCTTCGTGCCACGAGAACCCGGATCTGCTTAGCCCTGGGGTCCGAGGGCGGGACAAAAAAACAACCATAAAAATCTGGATTTGTGCGTTTGGCATTGCTTCGAAGGCCCCCGGGAAGGGGATTCTGCTGATCTTGTCGGATCTGGTGAAGAGAATCAAGCCTGTCGCTTTTTCCGCCCCTGAGCCCCAGTTGTGCCCTCCCGGCAGAACTGGGGCTCAGTCCCCGTCCGTCCTCCGTCCCCTTCGTGAGCGTCTCCCGTCGCCGGCTTTCTGCGGCGAGCGCCGGAGGCTGCCACGGTCCCGTCAGCAGCGTTTTTTTTTTCCCCGGCCTTCTCCCTTTCTTTTCAGCTTGGTTCCTACCCCAGGTTACGAGAGGAGACGGAGAGGATCGTTACCACTCACATCAGGGAACGGGAAGGCAAAACGAAGGACCAGGTGAGCTCACGCCGTCTTCGGCCGGGCTGGAGAGCGGGGAGAAAGCCGAGCCGCCGGGTGGGGAGGAGAAAGCAAGCCCTGGCACCGGCCGCCCGGCGTCGCCCACCGCCCGGCGTCGCCTGCCACCCGGCATCGCCCGCCACCCGGCATCTCCCCACTCGTGATCCCGAAGCTCCCTCTCGCGGCGGCTCCGGCATCTCCCGCCTGGTCACCCCCGTCTGCCCGAGCGGTGCCGGAGCTGCGGGTGTTCAGCCCTCCCTGTGGGACCCCTAACCTTAAACCTCCTTCCAGATTCTCCTGCTGATTGACATCGAGCTCTCTTACATCAACACTAACCACGAAGACTTCATTGGATTTGCCAAGTAAGTCATTTCCCGGTGGGCTGGCTCCCCAAACTCTCGTTATTTATAAATGAGGTTCCTGGTCCCGTCCCCAGTTTGCAGAGGAGGCGCGCGGGTTACGTTACCCTTTCAGGGTCACTGACGTGAAACCTGGTGGAGGAGCCTCCCGCGCCCCAACGTCATTCACCAAAACCGTATCTTTTGCACCCGAGTTCTCTCAGATTTGGGGTACGGCAGCTCCGCTTCTCTGCTTGCCACCTGGCCGGCGCTCGAGGGCCTGGAGAGCTGAGCTGCCCCACGTCACTCCTCAGAGTGGAGCCCGAAGCAGGGTTCGTTAATGCTGCTCGTTAGGGCAGAGGGTGCGAAGAGCTGGAGTCGGGTCGTTCGGCCTCGGACAGATGAGCTGCTTAGTGCCCGCTCACGGGAGCGCTTACGATGAATTTGGGTCGTTAAGGCTGCTGCTGCCCTTCAGCAGAGAGGGGGAATTTTCCGTGCCCCCGGCCGCCCTAAGGGAGGGTGCAGTAACTCGTCCTGTCCCCGTGGAGCTGGCGGCTGGAGCAGAAACGTCTCCCCGTCCTTTGAGCTCGTCCCTCGTAGTCCTCTGCCCGGGCAGGCGAGGCCGGGAGCCGGAGGGGGGCTCTCTGGTAGCTCCTCAGCTTCGGCTTTCGGCCAGAGGACGGCTAGCGTTTTCCATCGGCGCAGCCCCAAGACGGGCGGTAACTTTTCGGAAGCGCCCAGAGGGTCCAGCTCGGGTGTCCCCCCGCAGAAAGAGCGGAGGGCAGCGG